TAGACAGAAGTAGAATTAGTAAACAGTTTAATAGGAATTGTTCAAGAAATCATATTTCAAGAAGATCAAGACCTACTCTTTCTTCCTATTGCAGTTCTAATAGAATTTGATAATTATACTGGCTTCGCTATTACAACTGCAGAAGGTAAAAAATTTGTTCCAATACCACCTATAAGACATACCTGGAAAGGAACAAAAAGAACTTGCTCATATATACAAGTTCTTATAATCCTCACATAGGCTATTACTATATATAAACATCAAGGGTTAATATTACAAAAGGCTATAATAGATCTTAGAAAAAAGAATATACTGCTGGCATTTCATTTGTAGTAATCTCCTGTACTTGTTCTCTTAGAAATATTCTTTTTAGATTATTTTCACTTAATAGGCTTCAATGTATTAAGAATTGCAAAAGGTTGCAAGAAAGGCTTGCTAAAAAAAAGTGGTTAAGTTCTATGATTTAGCAAAATTAAAAACTGTTTACCGTATAGTCACGAAATAATGCACAGGGGTGTTATTTCGAATCTCAGCCCGAATTAGGCTTAATTTAGGCCAAAATTCGAAATTACACCCCTGTGCGTTATTTCGCAACTATACAGTATTAACAAATAGTAACTTTAAGTTATCTTAATAGAAATTTTTTTAAAAAAATGATTATTTAACTTTCTACACTGTACTTTCATTAATCAAGAACCTTAAATTGTGTCTACTATTTTTTGAAATAATTTAAATCTCATATAATTGTTTTGCAATTTTTATTAGTTACATTAATTTTCAATTGTGAAATATAATATTAAATACTATAATTTGCAACAAATATGATAGTTTCTGTGTTAAAATGGTCTAGAGTACTAACATTAATTAAATTAAAAAACTCAGATTACTATTTGCTGCAAATTAAAATAATAGTAAATTCAAACTCAAATATAGATTTCTTTTAATATAATTGAATCATAATAATATAAATTTACTATATATATTTTCTTTTGAAAAATTTATACAATATGGTTTTATTTTTAAATATTAAGCCTGGTTTTAATATAGTTAGTGAAAACCCTAAATATTATAATTAATACTATTAGAGTTTTTTTAAAAAATAAATAAAACCAAAAAAAATAAAGCTTAAACTTATATAGCTCTGTGCTAAATAATATCAAAATGCTTGAAAAAGTTAATTTAATTAGATTAAATAAAATAGTTATATAATCAAATATATAGTTAGGTTATGATTTTTTTTAAATTATAGTAATTAATATTTTTGTTTCAAACATTTATCAACTCCTAATACCTAGTTATAATTATTTTTTTTATATATATTATAATATATATTAGATATAAAGTTTTAATTTTAGATTTCGTAAGGTTTTTAGAAGTTCTAAACATTTTTATTTGAAGTATTTGATCTATTTACTTAGTCTATTTTTAAGAATTAGGAATCACAGTTGAAATTATTGTGATTTACTATAAAAATCCTGTTATTAAAACTCAAGATTGTATTGGTTTGTATTGAAAAATATACAATCAATATAATTCACAGCAATACAACAATTAAAAAACTTATCAGCTATTGAGAGAATCACAGTGTATAGATAAGTAAGTTTGTATTAGAATTATTGTGTTTAATCATAAATTACTGTAAAAAACCCTGTTACTAAAACTCAAAATTGTATTAGTTTATAGAGCAGGGTTTTAATCAAGAGCTTGAGGTGCTGTTAATACAGCAAGTGGAGAGAAATTGTAGTAGAAATATAGATAGTAGTATATATTATACAGATAGGTCTTTAATTAAAAGTAGCGTAGATTATAGGATAGGTACAGGATGGGTGCAGGTAGACAATTTGGAGGAAATGATATTTGCAGAGGGAAAAATCAGATTTGGTAAATAGCTATTGTCAACAAAGACTAAGCTAGTTGTGGTGCTAATGGTAGTTTTGATAGCTAGGTGCAGAAGTGAGATTGTAGTCAAATTAGATAGTGCTGTGGCAATTGCAAGCCTAGAAGACACAATGTCGCTTACAGATATGAGAGTGTGGAGAATGCTAGTCTAGTAGTGAAGATTAAAGATATATGTAGTTCAAAGGGTTTAGTTCTTCAGTTGGTCAAAGTAAAAGCACATAATAAGGTAAAATGAAATGAAAGAGCAAACCAATTGGCTAAAGAAGGCTTCTGCTTATCTTGGTGCTCGATATTACCTTTGGAGAAAAATCATCGCAAAAGATTTTATCTCAATAAAATACTAGTAAAGGTTATAACAAGAAAACTAGTTAAGATATTGATGAGTTTTAAAACTAGTGCAGAGTGGCGTAACTCAAATGCTATCAGAACATACGAAAATAAGATAGATTCAAATCGTAGCTGGAAGGCATTGTGGTGTCAGAACAAGAAAGCAACTGGAATTAGATGCAAGTCACGTGTAGCTAGCAGAAATATAGCCTTCCGAATTAAATGTATTAATGACAGCTTACCAGTTCTAACTGCGCTGAAGAGAAGAAAACCCGAAATATACGTAGACGATATATGTGTAAGTTGCAAGTGTGCAAAAGAAAATTCCGACTATCTGGTAGCATGTACAGGATATATCAATTACTGGAGTATTGTAGAGGAGGTTGCATGTTTACTCGCATGAAAGAAGTTAAATCGTACACATAAATGAACAATATCTGTTGAAAGGTTTGGTCTGTTAATTGGCAGTGATACAACTGAGAAGAAGCTCAAGCGGAGAAAAGACTATATTGGAGGACTTATACCTGACGACGTAGTGGCTGAGTTGTTAGACTTAGAGCTACCTAAGAAGATTGTAAACCTGGCACTTAGTAGTTATACAGCACTTATAGAAAGTAGCTTTCTCGATGAAATTTGGCAAATTGGATATAATGCAGTTGCTAAATAGGAAAAGGAAATTGGTATAGATATAGCAATGAAGAGAAGTAATCCAAAAAGTCCTGTTAAAGAGGGTGCCGATATTGTCAAAAGTTTACCATCAAGAGGTGGGAAAAACAAGAGTAAAGGTGAGACGAGTGGTGCAGTTAAGTCAATAAGTAATGAGAAAGAAGCAGAAGTTATTCAGTTATTTGAGAAGGGTGTTGTTAAATGGGTTGAGAAAGGATCAACCCTATTTTGGTTTTGTTCTTGATAGAGCTGACAAGGTCTTCCAACCCACATGTGGGTTGGTGCAACAAGTCACATCTGGGTGCACATGATGTAGCCAGGTGATGCCGGGCTTGCAATTTTTAATTAGATATTATTAGAATTTTTAAACCTTGTTTTTAGTCTAATAGTAATATAATTTGTATTTGAGCACCGACAAGACTGTCAAAGAATTAAAATAATAATAATAATAACATAGTAAATGTTGAGGATAAATTTACTATGTAAATGTTTGTCTTTTTTGGAATCTGGAGTTTTCCAAAGAAAAGGTTTTTTTCTTACTAAGTAAACCTTTTTTCAACACCTAAATAAAGTTGTAGAAAAGTGTTTTGCAATTAAAATAGTTAAAATTCCTAGTGGATCAAGAAATATAAGTATTTTAGTCTTTACAACTATATGTTTTTTCTTTATTTATATAAAGAAGAAAACATATAGTTGCGAAGACTAAAATGCTTATATCTCTTGATCCACTAGATTAATTTTAATATTTTAACTACTATTCTGATTGCAAGATACTTCTTTACAACTTTATTTAGATATTGAAAAAAGATTTACTTAGTAAAAAAAAAACTTTTTCTTTAAGAAACTCCAGATTTCAAAAACAATAATAAATTTCTCCACTTTTTACTATATTTTTATTGGTTTACTGGTGGATCACAAATTAAATTATATTAAATATCTAAATTTGTATAATAATTTATATTATGCATATTGTTTACTTGTTTATATTTTTTTAACCAATTAAAACAAATGTTTGCCATGCTGTTAGGCTATAGGTATAATATTTAGTATAAAACTCCTAGTATAGCACTAACACTTCAAGCAAACTACTTAATTAGGCAACCAAAAATTATATGTATAACTAGTTGTACTCTTATAAACTGATATAATATGCACTGGTATTAATTAACAATAGCTACTCATTTGAACTAATAAAGTGCCAGGGATCTAAGTGGTTATCTCAATATTAAAAATATATATATATATTTAAAGAAAAATTATTTTTTAAATTAGCAGATATAAGTTTTTAAAAACTATTATAATGTAATACAATATACTACTAGTAGTATAGTAAGCTTCTATTTATTAATATATAAAACTAGATAAAAATTTTAAACAAAAAAGAATAATTTTAATTCTTACTAAAAGTAAAATTCACTGGTAGTACTATATCTCAAAAATATACTGATTAATTAAAGTCAGAGAGTTTAAGTAAAATATGTTTATGACCTTTAAAAACCTTACAAAAACTAAAATTTCTAATCTATATTATGTTATATAAAACTCTTTTTTTATTTTAAAACTGCACTTTAACTCTAAAACTCTTAGAATAATAAATTTTATTACTAGTAAATATTAACAAAAAAATATTTTTACAAAATTTTAAAAAAAACTTAGTTATAAAAACTTGAATATTAATTGCAAATAAAATATTTTTAAAAAGAAGTTTGCTATTTACCACTGATAATCATCACTAGTATTGCTATATCTCAAAAATTACTAAGTAAACAGGATCAGATACTTTAAGTAAAAATGTTTAGAACCTTTGAAAACTTTATAAAAACTGAAATCAATACTTTATATCCAATTTATATTATATTATATAAAAAAAAATCCTCTCTAATTCCTAACCCTAACCCTAGAAATTCTTAGAACTAGTGATGATTACTACTAGTGATATGTAGTAATTTTCTTTTAAAAAATATTTAAACTAATATTTAATTTTTAAAATTAGCAGATAATTGCTTTTAAATACTGTCACAATGTAATACAATGTACTACTGGTAGTACAATGTGCTGCTATCCATTAATAATACTAATTGATAATTCATATCTAGTATTTCTAAGTTTTAAAAAATTGTCATAAGAGCAAAGCAAACATATAACATTCCCACAGGATAAGCTACTAAAATACGTTGTTCTGACATTTGTAGTACTGTTACGAACATTGTGGATGAAGAATATGTACACCAACCAACTGCAAGAGCGGATGCAATAAGACCAATCGGTCCACTTAGAATAAGGAAATATGATAGAAAAATGTTAGTTTATAAAAAAAATTTTAGACGTAATGTTCTTAATTTCACAATACCTTAGAGGTACTATAACGCCAACGCAGCTTAATAATACCATTGGCAACAAACAATAGCCCAGCACACTAGCCGTTCGGTACCCGTCTATTCCCGATTCACTCATAAGATTTAATATCATGTAAATGGAAAAGCATCCGAGTAGGGCGACTCCATAAATGTATCCAAAATGAATTTTTCCGGTCTATTTGTTGACCCATGACCGCGACAACAAAAAAAGTATATGTAATAATTAGTTATAATAAAAAAGATACTATTATTTCACAAAAATAATAAATACTAAAATACCAATAATAGACAAACGCCAAATATTAAACAAAACAAAAGTGGACCAGCCAAATCAGTATCGGCCATTATATCTTTGTCAACTGTTCTCAGCGGATTTAGAACTGCCAAACTCTAAATTACATAAAGGCAGGCATTTAGTTTTTGAAGAAAGAAAATCGGTAGAAAAACAAATTTGAACACACCTTTGATTTTATATGTTCGAAATTAATACCAAGCTCTAATTTTAAACAACAAATGTATCATTTAATTTTACCACATAATTCCACACTATGTATAGTAAAAATTCTACCGTCTAATAAGGGTGGCTCGCCAGGAAACCCTCCAGTTCCAAATGCGCTCCAGAAACCACCTGTATTACCACCGTTATGGTAAGCTGGATAAGGTTGTTGGGCATAGTAGCTAGAAGATTGCTGTATATAAGCATTATTAGGATATCCGTAAGGTGAAGAATAAAATTGAAGTGTCTCTGGTGTGTCCATTTTGTATAAGTTGACTATGTTTTTAGGGTTAGGAGTTTCGGCATTTTATTTATTTTAAAGAAAAAACTAAGCCTCATGATTTTAGTCGGCTGGCTAAACCAGCCGACCAAAAACATCGGCTAAGCGGCTAATAGTGGCTGGCTAGAAATTAAGTTAGTCACGCAACCAAACTGACCAAAATTCCAGTTGTAAGTAAATTGTCCTAGTTCCGATGCATTCGACTCTAAATTTTGGGTTATATAAAAAAATACTTATGTGATTGGTGAACCCTTAGCCGCATTAGCCAGCCAACAGCTGGCTTATTTCAGCCGGCTTAAACCACTAATTCCGAAATCGTTGTTACACAAACTATATGGACAATTGAAATTTCGATACGTATACGGTTGTAGTCTAAAAGCCGGCAATTTCGCCATCCCTTTAACCATAATAAGTTAAACTAAAGGTACCCTATTGATTAATAAAATTTCTTCAATCACTTTCTCCGGAAAGTTTTTATGAGAATAAAGGTAGGACGTCTGTTTATTGACAAAGTTTATTGAGTTTCTACTACATTTAATGATCCGCCTAAGAACCAGTGACAAAACATAATAAACAGTGGTGATATGTTTTTTATATATTTTTTATTGTCTTTGGAATCTGGAGTTTTCCAAAGAAAACCTTTTTTCTACTAAACAAACTTCTTTTCAAAAAGTTGTAGAGGTGTGTCTTGCAATCAAAATGGTGGTTAAACCGTCAAAATTGGCCCAGTAAATCGTTAGATATTAGTACTTTAATCTTTGCAACTACAGTACTTATATCTTGTGATCCACTAGGCCAATTTTAATGGTTTAACCACTATTTTGATCACAATACACACACACACCTCTACAACTTTACTTAGAAGTTGAAAGGAGGTTTATTTAATAAAAAAAAAGTTGTTTTTTTTGAGAAACTCCAGATTCCAAAGACAATAGGAGGGCATTCATATTTAATGTTAAATGATATTTGTAATACCAGATATATACATCCCAAATGCAATATAAGCATATTGCTATATGTGATGGCCCTATTCGACCACCTACTGAGATTTTTCAAATTGCCATGAATGTTCAATTTGCTGTTCATATGTTTTTTAAGGAAAGTAGTTTGTATCTCACTCTTGTATTTTACCTCTTCTTTGCTTTACTTATTCATAGAAATAGTGTATTATTTAAAATAACTTTGCATTATAATAGTAGTTCTTCAATTGCTATCCCTTAAGCTGTAGAGTTTGTGTAACAATTTTGGCTTAAAAATAGCATAAATTTAG